TGGCCTGTACCCCAGTTCTGTATGTACAAATAAATAAATCTTAAAAAAAAAAAAACAAAAAAAAAACTTGGCTACTAGGGGCCCTCCCTGTGGTGCAAGGGGTTAAAGCACAGCACCACGAAGCTAGCCACAGCCTCTGCAGCATGAATTCAATCCCTGGGCCGGGAGCTGACTCACATGGCCCAGCAGACCTCTCCTGACCTGCCCGCTGCCCCCCTCAGCAGTGTACTTCATCAGTTGGCCTGTTCTGCTCCCCCACTCTGTTCCTGGTGAATCCCCTCACGGCCCCTGCACTTCTGGCCTGTACCCTGGTTTTGAATGCATAATTAAATGTTTAAAAAAGAAAACATGGCTTCTAGTGTGGCTATATCTGAAGGTGTCAGAAAAGCGTCTAATGACATGAAAGTGCGTAAGCCACTGACACCAGAGGAGGTGAAGAAGTGCAAGAAGCCGGTGCTCTACTGCCCAAGTGAAGCCAAGAATACCATCCCAGAGGAGGGCAAGGAAATCCTGGTAGGTGATGTGGGTCAGACCATGAACGACCCGTACCCACCTTTGTCAAGATCCTGCCAGGCAATGACTGTCCTCCGTGATGCAACCTAAGAGACCAAGGAGAGCAAGAGGAAGGGCCTAGTGCTTATCTTTGTGGCCCCTGAGGGTCCACCCTTCGGCACAAAATGATCTACACTAGTTCCAAGAAGAAGCTGCAGGGAATCAAGGATGAATTACAAGCAAATTGCTGTGAGGAGATCCAGGACCGCTGCACCCTGGCAGAGAAGCTGTAAGTAGCACATCATCTCCCTGGAGGGGGAGCTTTTGTGAGCCCCTGGAGCACCTGGCCACTCCAGAACTGCCCATGGGGGGTTGCAGGCTGCCCCCTTCCTACGAGATTGAAGGGGCTGGGGCTGGTGAATCCTGTCACCCTTCTATATCTCTGGCCTACACCCCAGTTCTTGTATGCATAAATAAATAAATCTTTATATAAAAAATCCTATTAGAAGTAATAGTTATTTACCCAGAATATCCAGAAGACGATAACTGAGGACCTGAGTTGGGCTGCCTCAGACACATGAAGTCCTTGCTCCCCAGGGGCCTGGAGACAGGACAAGGCCAGAGGCTCTCTGAGTCCCTGTGACCACAGTCCGCTGGGCCAGGGCGTAGGCCAGAGATTCACCAGACACAGAGTGGGTCACAGAACAGTGAGTTGCCCCCCTCTACACCCACGGACCTTCCCCCTCTGGAGGAGGCATGGAATCAGGCCTTCCCAAACTGTATTTGATCTTCTGATTCCTTTTGGGTTTAAGCAGACCAGGTTTTCCCCCAGCAAGGATTTGTATTTTTTTTAACAATACCCCAACCCCCCTCTTCCTCCGCCTTCCTGTGCTGCCAGCTTCCAAGGGCAGTAGGCACCCTGTGCTTGTCTGTTTGGTTCTGTGTGCCAATGGGATGTGGCAATGACCCACTCCCCACACTGACTGGCTCCCCTCCTCCCCCCCAGGCGTGGCCACTCCTGGAGGCAGGACCAGTAAGGGACCTTCAATTCAAAAGGAAAAGCACAACAGCAAAAACAAAAG